TTTTTGAAGGAAAGGAGTATATCATAACGATCCATACTGTCCTACAGCATACACAATCTCTCTAAGGTAATATAATGCAGCGTTTAAGAGGCTCATCTGGGTTCAAATACTGTCTCTGCTGTTTACCTGCTGTATAACTTTAGGCAAGTCATTTATCCTTTTGCTACCTCAGTATCTTTATGTACACAATTCTGATAGTAAGAGTACCTACCTCACACAATTATGCCCAGGATTAAGGTAACCAATACATAAATAAACAGCACTTAGAACGATATCTAAATCATGGTAAGATCTCAGAACCCACTCTAACCACTGAAAGAGAACCAGACCTACACAGAGCAAACGGTATCTTGCACATTTTAATCCAGCTGCTTTGGGAAGAGATACATATTTTAAGTATATGGTCTCTCAGAACAAATGCATATATGAACACTTATTTCCTCTTTCAGTATGTTTTGATAATAGACATTTTACTGCAGGAGATTCTAATCTCTCCTCATTCACTTATCATGTAGTGTACACTATTGATATGCATTTCCTCCCTTCTTCCACGTTGGAAAAACCCTGATTGTGTCTTAAGAGTTCACCTCTCATCAATGGGAGTGATAAATTCTCACTGCTCTTGATCACTCATGAAGATTAAGTATACTCTGCCCTGCCACGACTGGCTTAGGAGTGAGCATGTGACCCAGTTATGGTCGATCAGATATTAGGAGATGTGTATTGGGAAGCTTCTGGGAAAGGTTTTATTATCAAGAGAATACATTTCTTTCTACTACAAGAAACTCTTTGACTTGTCTTTAATGCCTGTGGTCAAGGTAACCATTCTGCAACATTAGGGGTGGAAAGCCTGAGTAAAATCACTTTGATAATGGCAACATGGAAAGATGGGCAGAATCGTAATATTAATGAAATTGTTGAGTGAACCACGGAAATAATCAGTCCTAGAAGCACTCTACCTTTAGTCTCTTTTTCATGTGAGATAACTCCCACAAGTCATTGTGAGTTGGATTTTGTTGTTACTTGCTGCTGAAAATATTATAAATGAGACCACTTTCATGAAAGTCTATCTTTGAGTAATGTGGCATAAGTGTGCTTGTGTGAGTATGTGTTTAGAAAGTGAAGAACACATAAATGATTCATAGGAAAATATTTCATTTAAATAAGCACAATATTTTATCTGTTAATGTCCACTCTTTGGTTTCTCTGTAACATTTTGCTATAAAAATTGTCAAACATATAGCAAAACTGAAATAATTTTACTGTGAACACTCATATTGTTAACATTTTACTAGAGTTGCTTAATCACACAGCTGTCCCTCTTTTGACTTCATTCTTTGATGAAGACATCAGAGCACTACTTCCTAAATACTTTAAAATAAATGTCATCAAACAGAACTTATTATTTCTTTTCTTTCTTGAGTCGTAGTCTCTCTGTGTCACCCAGGCTGTATTGCAGTGGTATGCTCACAGCCACCGTAGCCTCGGCCTGTTGGACTCAGGCAATCCTTCCGCCTCAGCCTTCCAAGTAGCTGGAACTATAGGCATGCGCCACCACACCCAGCTAATTTTTTGATTTATTGTAGAGACGAGGTCTCACCAAGTTGCTCAGGCTGGTCTCAAGTCCCTGGGCTCAGGCAATCCTCTTGCCTCGGCCTCCCAAAGTGCTGGTATTACAGGCTTGAGCCACCGCGCCTGGTCAAGTTTACTATTTCTTTACATTAATGTTTACGTGAAATGTACAAATCTTAGCTGTACATTCAGTGAGTTGGGACAGATGGGTACACCTATATAATGCAAAGCCTTATCAAGACATAAAATATTTCCATCAACTCAGCCAGCGCCCTCACTCCTCTTCCCAGGCAAATTCTACCCCTCCCCAAGAGACAACCACTGTTTTGATTTTTTGCCATACTCAGTTAGTTTTATTTGTTTTAACATTTCATATAAATTGAATCATGCATTGTATATTATTTTAGGTAAGGGCACTTTCATCTGGCATGTTTTTAGTCCATCTGTGTTGTGTTTATTATCATACAGATCCTGTACTTGCTCTTTAAAGTGTATACTTCTGTAATTCATGTTCTCTGATGTGATTATAAATTGTATTGAATTTTAAATTTTGGTTTCTGCATGTTCACTGTTATAGAAATGTGATTTTTTTTTTTTTCTGTGTGTGACCTTGTTGAATTCACTTAATAGTTTTGGGAGTTTTTTGTAGGTTCCTTAGCATTCTTTATGTGTACAATCATATCATCTGCAAATAGAATCAGTTTTATTTCTTCCTTTTCAGCCCGATTACTTATTTATACCTTATTGCAGTGGCTAAAACTTTCAGTACTATGTCTAATAACAGCAGTGAGAGTAAACACCTCTGCTTTGTTTCTGATCTTACAGCGAAAACAGTCTCTCATCATTAAATACGCTGTAACATTTAGGGTTTTGTAAACATTCTTTTCAAAAAGTAAAGGTAATATTCTCTAAGCCTTTATTCCTAACTTGCTGAGAGTTTTATTAATGGGTGTTGGGTCTTGTCATGTGCTTTTTATGTCAATTGATTTGATCATCTTATTTGCTTATTAGTGTGGTAAATTATACTGACTTTCAACTGTTGAACCTGACTTGTATACTTGGAATAAGCTCCACTTGGTCATGGTGTATAATTTTTGTATATATTGTTGGATTCTTTTTGCTAATATGTTATTAAGGATTTTTGCATCAAAATTTGTGAGAGATATTGGTTGGAATTTTCCCTTTTATGCTCTTTATTTGGCCTTTGGCATTATGGTAAACAAGTCTCATAAAATCAGTTGGCATGTAGTTTCCTCTTCTATTTTGCTGGAAGAAAGCATGTAAAAGAAGTTAATTCTTCTTTAATGTTTGGTAGTATTCTCAAGTGAAACCATCTGGGCCTGGGGAGTCCTCTTTGGGAGCTTTTAAATTACAAATTCAACTTCTTTAATGGTTATAGGACTGTTTAGATTGTCTTTATCATCTTGGTTGAGTTTTGGTGGTTTGTAGTTTTTGATGACTTGGTTCATTTCTGTAAGTTATCAAATTTATGAGTATAAAGTTGTTTGTAGCATTTCCTTATTGTCTTTTTATGACTATATTTTTGTGCATGGTTTCTTTTAGCTCTTTGCGTATATTTAAAATAGCTGACTTAAAGCCTTCAGGTAAAATGTCCAATGTCTGGACTTTCTAAGGTACAGTTTCTATTAATTTTTTTCCTATGTATGTGTCACACTTTACTGTTTCTTTGCATGCCTTGGAATTTTTTGTTAAGTTGGACATTTTGGATTAATGGCAACTCTGGAAACCAGATTCTTTCTCCTTTACAGGTTGCTGTTGCCGTTGTCTTTGTTTAGTGTCTTTTCTGAAGTCATTTGTAAAGTCTGTTGACTTTGTTGTGTGTGGCCACTGAAGTCACTGTACTGTTAGTTTAGTGGTCAGCTAGTGACTTGACAGTGATTTCCTTAAACACCTAGAACCAAAGAAAAATCAATCTCCTAGTTTTTGCAGAAGGGCTCTGCATGTGTTGCTTGAGGCATACCTTCAGCCCTCAAACCAGGTAGGTTTCAACTGGATTTCTCTAGTGAGATGTTGTGTTTATGGTGTTGGCTAAATAGGAGTATTACATTATTTTAAACAAAACCCGAGGGTTTCCTAGTGACTGCTTCCTGCTTGGCTTTGGGCCTCCCCACTTGACTTTGGGTCTTCTCTTGGTGCTGCTTCCCAGAGACAGTCTGTCTTTGCAGCTCTCCCAGCTGTATCTCCCGTTTTTTTGTTTTTTTTTTAGTCAGAGTCTCATTCTGTTGCCCAGGCTGGGAGTGCAGTGGCACACTCTTAGCCAGTGCAGCCTTGACCTGCTGGGCTCAGGTGATCCTTCTGCCTCACCCTTCTAAGCAGCTGAAACTCTAGGCACATACCACCATACTTAGCTCATTTTTCTCAATTTATTGTAGAGACAAGGTCTCACCAAGTTGCCCAGGCTGGTCTCGACCCCCTGGGCTCAGGCAATCCTCTTGCTTCTGTCTCCCAGAGTTCTAGGATTACAGGCATGCGTCGCCACGCCTAGCCACTCCTGTTCTTTTTACTTGATGCTTATTGATGTGATGGTGGTAGCCGTGGAGGAAGAAGGGCATTCTTGATATTCTCATGAAGTCTCAGTCTTAGGTGAACCTGAATCTCAGATTGAGATCTTCAGAATTGGGATCCTTCTTCTTTATGTAATGCTGGGCCTAAAATGTATTCCTGCCCCTCCCCCTATGGTAGAGCTGTCGCTGCTTTGTTTTTGCAGACCTTCTCCTCCCAGTGGCAGCGCGTTTCCACAGGTGCTCTCAAGAGGTAGTTTTTATTGCTCTTACGACTGGTCTGCCTGAGTTTTTAGTAGGTCCCCCAGGCCCTGCAGAGGGTTTCAGCCAGTGTCTTTAGCTATGGTTTTTGTTGCCCTTCTCCCTGCAGATTAAGGTTTTGGTCTGTAGGGGAAATAGGGAAGATGGCTTGTGACTGCTCTTCCCCCACACAGCCAGTATTGCAGGAGAAGCTTTTGCAGGCTTCTTCTCGCCATTCTTTGGAAGCACCTGGTTGGTTTCCTGGGAGAAAAACCTACTGGAGAATACAAATCTTCCTGTTTTAGGACCCTGAGGGGATGCACATTTTCACAGTAGCCCACATTTTGTCTTTAACAATTTATTAAGGACTTTTGACTGAATCTTCTTTCCTGTCCTCAGTGGCTTATGTCCCAGGTAAGGAAATGCTGGAGTTCTGTTTCTCCCTCCAGGCACCTGTCTCTAACTAGATTTTGTATTACCTGATCTATCTGGGACTTCAGTTGTCTGATGGATTTGTCCATTTAATTTGCAATTTGTCCAGCTTTTTTTTTTTTTTTTTGCTGTGAGGATAAGAGGATACTGTTTCTATCTTTCTAGAAAGAACTGAAACTGGACATTTTAAAGTTCTAATTGTCATAGCATTTTGCTTTTTTATTTTTGATATAGGAAATAGAAACTCAATATGAGGAGCAGATTGGGAAAATTATTGTGGAGACTGAAGAACTTAAATGGCAAAAAGTGAGTATTTTTCTCTCAGATTAGGATTTGTAACATCTATTTTAAAATGTATTCTTATCCTTATTGCAAAGCTAATTTTTAACATAATTGGGGATAGCACATTATTTTAAATGAAGTCTCAAGAAAATCCTAACTAAAACTGTTAGTAACATGTAGTCTTCCAGAAAACTGAGGATACAAATTTTGCTCAGGCCTTTTAATATTATACACTGAGGATAACTCTGAAAACGACTACATTGTGAACTATGTTACATCTCAGAATCATGTTATATGTTATAGGGCAATGAAAATATTTTGAAAGCAGTGAAACCTCATGACTTGTACCATTTTTCCAAGGCTATTGTTACATAATGTAATCAAATATTTTTTAAAAAATAGTATCAGTACTGATTTTCTGTGTAGTTTTATACTGAAACATTTATGATACTGCTTCCCCTGCCTATCCATCAAAGGCATCTTAACAGCTGAAAACTGAAAGCTTAATTTTCATAATTCCTCACCATTTGGCAATATGGAACAGGAACTTGGGGGAAACAAGTTCAGAATTCAGGTGCTAGAGGATTGCCCAAACTAGAAATAATTGGAATGTTAGGGCCAGACAGACCCACAGAGTTGTGCAGAATATGGGAGTAAAACCAGGATTGAACTATATGAGGGGCAGGTCTGAAACAGACCTGTCTATGGAAAGAAAGAACAGGTAAATACTAAGTACAAACTAAAGTTCAAAACTGATTTCAAAATGTCAAGTTATATCTTGATTTTGGATAAAGACAGTAAATAGTATAATGTTACCAGAATTCCTAAGTTAACCAGTAAGTCTAATAAATAAAACTTAAGTTGGATTTTATTATGACCAGACACAGTGCCTCACGCATGTAATCCCAGCACTTTGGGCTGCTTAGGTGGGAGGATTGCTTGAGGCCAGGAATTTGAGACCAGCCTGGGCAACATAGTGGATCCTGTCTTTACAAAAAAATTCAAAAAATTAGTTGGGCGTGGCGGCACGTGCCTCTAGTTCCAGCTACACAGGAGACTCAAGTGGGAGGATCTCTCAAGCCCAGGAGTTTGAGACCAGTCTGGGCAGCACAGTGAGATTCGTATCTACAAAAGAAATTTAAAAAATTAGCTAGGCATGATGGTGCACACTTGTACTTCCAGCTACTTGGGTGGCTAGGAGGATTGCTTGAGCATTGGAGTTCAAGGCTGCAGTAAGCTATGATCGGGCCACTGGATTCCAGCCTGGTTGGGAGAACAAGACTCTATCTCTGAATGAATGAAAACAGGAATCCAATTTAAAATAGAGAGCATGTTTAGAGTATTTAAGCTGATTCTAAGGTTTATATGGAAATAAACATTTAGGAGTAGCTGGGAAATTTTGGAAAGAACTAGCCATACTTGATTCTTAAACATATTCTAAAGCTATAGTTATTAAAATAGTTTTGAAGTACACATAAATATTTAGCGGGACATGATTGTGTCTAGAAATAGATTCAAATATATAAGATAATTGAGTGAATGATAAAGGTGGCTTTCAAATCATTGGGGAAGAATAGATTATTCAAGAAATGGTACTAGTACTGGGTTCCAGCTGAAGAAAAAGCCAGATTCCTGCCTCACTTTACACATCTGTAGAAAAACAAGAACTTTCATATGTTGCTGGCTATGTAAATTAGAAGTACCTGATTGCATCCCGCAAAATATCACCAAACACAGCATGTGAATAAAGCAGTTATGTTTATTAGAACTCTTTGCAGTAAGTGAAAACACTACTTTTAAGGCGTCTTAGTGGTGTTTCAAAAGGGGCAAATCAGCACTGGAATATGTAAGGTGTTATAAGGTCTAGGCACAAGTGGCCTTAGGCAGGTCTTTTGAGGCCATGTGTTGATTGGGATTGGACAAATTTTGTAACATAGTGTTTCAGGACTGGTAAATGTAACAGCATGAGAGACCCCGGAAGCTAGTCTTGAGAGTAAATAATTGTTTGATAAACCAGCTGTTTACCCTAATAAATTATTGCTCAGATAAATTCTTTTGTAGCAATTTCCTGAAACAAACAGTTATTTAATTTGTTGGTTTTTACAGGCTTCTGTTTGCTGGGCAAAGATTTCTTGGAATGAAACCTAAATTGTGTTGACACAAGTATTCTCAGTTCTTAGTACTAATAGCTCTGTTATATTGATGTGGGTAGTGTCAGTTCTTTGGTGCCTCTTACTTCTTCAGCCTGAACTGGAGAACAGACCATTATTATTTAGGATGTGATCGATCAAGATTGATGCTGCTTGATGAAGAGACATGACAGCATGTAAGATTGTTTCTGGTGGAGTGGTATGTGTGTATCAGTTTTCCCTATTCTTGGATGATCATTTGATAGGACAGTGGCCATGCAACAGTTTTTAAGACTCCAGAAGTCACATGTTTGAACATACTAATATGGAAAAATACTAAGCAAAAGATTATTTACAGAATTTGTAGATCGCTTCTAAGCCAGCAGTCAAGAATACCTATATTAATCCAAGAGAACAGAGGTCATCGTCAAATCACAAATGAATTTTATTTAGTAATTGCACTCACATCCTAGAATAGCCAAGAATGCAGCGAACGGTATTAAGGATGAGGACCTTAGAAATCGTGGTTAATAAATAATATATGTTTAGTCATTTAAGGTTCTGAATTATTAACAAAGAAGAAAGAAAATATCTAGGAAAATAAAGAACAAAAGCTTACAAAATAGAAGATTGCAGTCTGTGGCTCTGATTCTCTAGCTGGAGTATAAGCAAGCTTTTTGTGTAAAGAGTCATATAGTCAGTATTTAAGACTCATGGACCATATCGTCTCTGTCACAACACTCACTTCTGTTGTAGTGTGAAAGCAACCACGAACAATACTTAAATGAATAAGTGTGGCTATGTTCCTAAAAAACTTTGTTTATGGACACCAGAATTTAAAATTTATACTATTTTCAAGTGATTTGAATTTTTTTTTTCTTTTTAGCCATCAAAAAATGTAAAAACTATTCTTAGCTCACAGACTATACAAAAACAGACAGTTGGCCAGATTTGACCCATGGGTCATAGTTTGTTGACCCCTGATCTAGCCCTTATTCTGTAGGTCTTGGTTAGAGGCTGTCTATATCATATAGTTGCTGTCTTGATTCAGATCTCATGGGTGGAAACTACTTGTTTCTGAAGATAGTCTGCTTCTGAAGTTTTCTATCTCTGAGTTTTCTATATCTTGATGGAATGGCAGTCCCAGTATTAGACAATGAAATCTCCAATTTGTTCATCTAGGAGACTTGAATTCAATAATCTGTGCACTGGAGTTTAGCTACTGTGCTAGCAGTCAGAATACCTGATTATTTCCAACATGGTTTCAAGGTGTGTGTGTGAGTGTGTGTGTTTTCTGTCTCCCTCTGAGGTCATTTCCAGAAGATACTGAATTTTAGGTCATGTAGAGGAAAAGCAGTTTTTGTCTATTAGTGATAAGACTGTGAAACATATTGCATGAGTCCCTTGAATTACTTTACCACATTTGTCTGTAGTAAGGAAATGTCCATACAGGGGAGAAGCAGCCCGCTTCATAGAGCAAAGTCTAACGAGTTTACGGAGAAAGCCAGTGATGTAGGGAGTATGGATTTCATGGTATTATGAGTTAGAGGTGACCTTCTTGGTCATGAAAGTTCTGGAGCATCAGATTTAATATGCCATTAGCTCACTCTACTTTTCCTCAAGATTAAGCATGATGGGGGCAGTGAAGTTTCTAAACAAATGATAAGGCTTTACAAAGTACTCTAATGCCACCTGGTAAAATGAGTGCCCCACCACTAGAGAGCCTCAGGTGGAGAACACAAAATTAAGTAATTTTTTTCTACTTACAGAACTGTAGTGCTCTGGCAAGAAAAAGTTTCTGTTTATCTAGAGAAATTGTAAGCAATGATGAGACCATATTTAGAACCCATTGCAGGGATTAATTTTTGGAAATCAATTAGGAGGTATTTATAGGGACTCTGGGACTTGGATTTACAAGGATAACAGTTGTACCAGGATGGTGCTGGTGATGGAGAGATATGCACCAGAGACACACTCAGCTATCTTAGGAAAATTTCCCTACCAGTGCTAATCAAGTATAATCAGTTTATCCTTGCTCTGGTGGGTAATTTCATGTAAAATTTTTGCAAAGTTCCACTGAGGTCCTCTGGTGCCACCAAGTGTCTGTCCTGAAAGTGTCCTGAAGATTTTGTGGTGTTTTTTTTTTAAATTTATAATTGTTTTATTTTCAGACTCTGAAGCCAATTATGGGCATTCCAAAGATAACCTTTCTTAATTTCTTCAAAGATTTGATTTTGTTGGATATCATAAGGGCCAGGACTATGTGTCATAAAGATTAGTTAGGACATTTCCTCTAGCCTTAATGTTATCCCTTTTAGTGTGGCTTTATGATAGCCACCTCCTAAGGAGGCATTAAAGCGCTTAAAACTGTTGACATTTGAAACTAGAATTCTTATGGAAGGCAGAAGCCCTCATTATTTCTACAATACGCCCAACCGTGTACTACTCCAAAGTCATAGCTGCTGTTTGTGTTAGCTCTCTTATTCCTCGACAACTGGCAAGTTTTGCGTGGTAGGATCAGTCTTGTCTTCTGAGCTGAGTTAAAATCTGGTAAGGATCTATAAGTTGGGGGTCAGTTGAGATATTTGTGGTATGTCCTCTCTGACACTTTTTTCCACTTTGGTTTAAAAAAAACTACCAATCAGCCGGGCTTGGTGGCTCAGCCTGTAATCCCGCGCCTTGGGAGGCTGAGGTGAATGAATTGTCTGAGCCCGCAGGTTCGAGACCTGCCTGGGCAACTTGGCGAGACCTCATCTCTACAATAAATCAAAAAATTAGCTGGGCATGGTAGCGCGTGCCTGTAGTTCCAGCTACTTGGAAGGCTGAGGCGGAAGGATCACCGGAGCCCAGCAGGTTGAGGCTGCAGTGGCCGGGAGAGGCCACTGCACTCCAGTC